TAATGAGAAAGAAGAGACATCTCAAGTGAGAAAAGACAACTCTTTACAATTCTTCTTTGTGTGCTGATATATACCTAATTCAAAAGAAAGGCCTTGACAGATGAGAAATTATACCCATGTAAATGTTTAATCATTTGCAGATGACCTTATAGGACTTGAGAAAAGATAAAACAAATTGAATTTTTAAAAGGTTTACCAAGTGCTCTGTGGCTTGCATCACAAAGTACTGTCTGAGATCTGTACAATTCTTAAAACTCTGTCTTTGCATGAAACTGTCCTGACACCAGTGTCAGAACTGCATAGCCTCCTGTGATTCCATATGCAACAGCATATTTCACTATACACTGAGGTTGGGGAACAGGCAGGTGAATCATCCATTTATGTCCACAAGTCTGCAGCCTCAAATCAGACTGTGGTGAAGGAAAAACTCCAACCAAACAATCAAACAAATAAACAAAAAAGGTATGGACCTCCAAGAGGCCTCAGGGGGGCTATGAGACAAGATCTCATTGAAAACATTGATCAAGGGGTTCCCATATCAGAAGCCATGAACCCATGGTAACTGTGTTCCAGGCTAAGCCAGACAAAACCAACTTTAGACAATAACATAGATGAAAAACTATACATTAACTGCGACAAATGATAAAACTAATATTACCATGCTGTACAATGTTTAAAACACATGCTCCTCTGAGCCCCGCAAGCCCTAGGATAAACCTGCTTTTACTCCAGCTTATTAGAGCTAGGTTATAGGGCTCCTCCCACATCAAACCCAGATGACTCACTGGCCCTCACATCCATCCATCCCAGTTCCCCTGGTTTAGTCAGTGTTCCCTTTGCCTTTGACACCCTTTGCCTTAGTCTACCTATCCAAACATTCTCTGACAGTTCTTATCAACTTATCCACAGGCAGGGGTAAGGAACCTGCAGGAAACCCACTAAAACATTCTAAAAACAGAGCTTGTCTATTCCTTTCACAATTCAAGACTGAGGTGCAGGTGGAGAAGCAGAGATAAGAGGAGTAGAAAGCTGGTGGCTCACACCTGTAATCCTAGCTACTCAGGGGGCAGAGATCAGGAGAATAGCAGTTCAAAGCCAGTCTTGGCAAATAGTTCTTGAGACCCTATCTCAAAAATCCCTTCACAAAAACAAACAAACAAACAAAAAAATAGGGCTGGTGGAGTGTCTCAATGTAAAGGCTCTGAGCTCAAGCCCCAGTACAAAAAAAAAAGAGGATTAGAGAAGGATTTTTCTGACCTTCCTTGGGCCCTAGCTAGACCTTACACTGAAAGATCACATGGCCTTCAGACCTTGATAACAGGGAAGGGAGAATGGCAGTGGCAGTGACCACCCACTCCCCCGCTAGACTTTGTAAACTGGGACTTAGTGTCCTCCTTCTCTCTTGAGGACAAAGATCTGTGCTTCAATATGGCCAGTGCACGTAGAAAGAATGAATGACAAAGCCTGGATTCCAAATTTCATCATCCCTCCTTCTATACCACTCATCCCTTTTCCCTCTGCTTCCTCCAATATGAATCCAAGAATGGAGCTAGACTGGCCTTTTATACTCTAATTTCAAAAAATTCTCACAAAAATGTGGGGTACTGTATCTTTGACAGAGGAGTCATGCCAGCCACCCCCAACCAACACAAATGTGTATCCATGCCCCATGGTCAACAAGAAATATGGCAGCTCAGGAGACACCTGGATTTACTGTGGGTATTCTACTAACTTTCTAAGACGTTTCTATGCTAAATGTTGGGCACACAGAAAGCTACTGACAAATATTTATCAAAGTAATAATAAATGAATGCAATACATAAAGTAGATAATGTAGATACTTGTAGAATGGGGAATATTTAGATTCATCAGTTTTAAAATTTTGTACACAAATTTCCTTAACTAGATATACATTTTAAGCCTGGAATCATAGTTCTGATCATTTTGATATACTCATAAAATGAAAAGTAGAAAAAAAACTAACACAATGATATCAGAACACCTACTCTAATACCAACAATTGGCACAAAGGTCTACATTAGTCTATTATTTCTTCTCAGATGAACCAACATTAACTTCTGTGTTCTAAATATCTGAAAGACCACACAGAGAAGTCAAAAATTACTTTTATTGTTCTTCTAAAAGTAAAGCTTTTTCAAAGTTTCAATTCCCATGTATAAAATGTTAACAATATGTTAACACACTAAGGACTGTATTATGTATTTGCTAGATACACACCTTTGAAAAGCCCAGTTTCACACTTTGGTTTGGGCATGTCTTATTAGACAGTACCATTTCATATAATAGATCAAAATGATATTTTTCCAGAAACAGTTTGCTCTAAGGCAACAGTCTCTTGGACCATCAAATATCCTCTACAGATCTGTAACTATTCCTTTTAGGATAGTGCAAAGTAGATACACTCTATTTGAGCTCTGGTAGAAACTTCAAGGAGAGAAATACTTAACAAACTAATAAAAGGGAAGGAAAGAAGCACATAGCTGCAGTCCGGGAAGGCAGGCACGTGAGGACATGGAACTTAGCTCATTTCTCACTCTTCCTGAATAATTTTCATCCTTTCATTACACTCATCACTATTTCTCAAGATCAGTTTTCTCTCCCATCCATTTTTATTTCCCTCTTTTCAAATGCCTGACTTCACCGACTTTTCTTCAATCTCATCTAATAAACCCACACTTCTATTTGAAGCCCCTTTAGCCAGATTTTCAGGAAATTACAGCAAGAAGAGATGTTCTTGGAATGGGAACAGTATGGTTGAGCCCAAACAATGGACCAAGGAAAGCACAAGGAAAGAAAGGAAGGAAAGGGACTCCATAAGTTCCAGGCATGTGCTGACTAAACCTGAAAAAACAAATGGCCCTTCTTATACGGCAGCAAGGCAAAACAGACTCTGACCACTAAACTTCTCTGTGGGTTAAGAAGTACCTCTGCCTATACAAGGTAGCTCATTACAGAGGGAAGGAAGAAGTCTCAGGTTTCGTAAGTGGATAGTCAAGAGCATGGACGAATACTTTCCCTCCAACCTGCTAGTGAGAGGTCACTTGAGTGTTCTGGCAGTTCCTTTCACCTCTCAGGCTTGACCCACCATCTTATATTATTTTATATGCCCTTCAAAACCTAGCGAGCTTTTAAGTGCGGTGACCATCCAAGACTTCCTATTCCATTCATGGTCTCTTTTACACAAACCTCATTAGGAAAGAATTAACCACCTCAGGCAAATGTATTCTATCTTTGCTCTGTTTTTCTTTCTGAGACTCGGGATATGAGAAAGCTCCTGGACAGAAAGCGGATGGCAGAGAAGTGTTAGGCGTGGCTCTGGCTGGAAGGAGATTGGAGGACCTCAACAATGTACAACTCCACAGTATGCAAAGTGCAATTACCTGCCAGAGAGCTTGTCTGATGTGCAGCTCTGCACAATTGTGCAACGAGAAGCTCTGATGCAACGTTCAAAGCAAAATCACAGAGATGAGGGGAAGGATAGGTCTTCCCCAATTTTTGTAGGTACAAGAGAACATCAATGTGACGGTAAACTGAAGAAAGACTTAAAGAAGAAACACTCCATTAAAAACTGCCTTTTAATCCAGGTGTGGTGGTCCATACCTGCAATCCCAGCACTTGATGCCAAACGTCACAACCAGCCTGACCTACGTGGTGAGACGATGCCTCAAAAATGAACAAACAAAAACCACTGCCTGTTAATCATTTTTAGTCGCAATGGCTTATCTTCCAGTGTCAAATTGGAGATTTTCTGAAAAACGACACACTTTTCTAAATAAGTCAGTGCAGCATCAATGTCAAAAATCATTTCGTCTCATACAAAAATAAGTTCAGCAAGCACTTTGTCCACAACATAAACGGTACTCATTCTGTAACCACGGTCTTATTTGCCCTAACAACAGGAAACACAAAGCCCACAGAAATATGTTTCTATTTGTAAGGAGCAGAGTCATAACCTGGAACACTGGGATGCAGTACCAGACGGCAAAAGGAGTAGAACAATTTTAAATCAAAGATCACTTCTAAAATTCTTCCCACTTCGTGTTTCAGATTTCAAAAATTTTCAAATGTCTTAATACCAAAAGCAACGAAGCAAATGAAGAAACGGTAAAATGTAAAAGAATGAGTAACAATTGTTTCTGCTGGGAAAGCTACAAAACTCAACCAAATGACAGTCCTGCAAAATCAACTGAACAGCTAAAGGAGAAGTTCGCTCATTTGAGAAAACTGTCCGTATGTGGGCTTTTGGGACAACCTCGAGGCGCTGCGATGGACACCCCCTAACCAAAGACCTCTTTTCTCCTTGCGTTTTAGCCTCCTCCGTCCCCGACTGCACTGCACTGCGCAAAGCCATTCTGCACAATCACGTCAAACAGATTTGCTGCTGAAAAAGTCTCAGAAACTAACATTCTTCAAGAAGCCAAATAAGGCTATTTTACTTTTCAGTCCAAATTATACAAGAGATGGATGTGCTACTAACGGGTTTTGTCAAAGTAGCCAGGAGGCTGAAGTAGCAAGAAGACGGCTACAATGGATCCCTCCTCCTTCTCAGCAGGCCTTCTTTCCATATGGAATATTGCTAAATGTTAAACAGATCCTGCGCATAAGGTGGAAAACTGTGAGATGAGCTCGGGAAATGTGGGAGTCCAGGGCGGGGCGGTTCCTGAGCCCGGCTCTTGGCTGCACAGGCTCCATCTGATCTGTCAGCTCGCGCATCGGAAGAGCTGATGAGAGATGGTGGAGGCTCAGAGGAAAATTTTTCGGGCGTCGGGGGGGAGGGGAGGCCTTAACGTTCGGATCGGATTAACCAGTGCACAAACGCTGGGCCCGCGCCGCAGCACCTGCGCTAATCAGAGGCACCCTAACAGCTGCAGGGCTGCAGGGGCGCTGGGACCCGGGCTGGGGTGTCCCGGGGAGGGGCCGCCGAGCGAAGCAGCCAGCGGCAAGGGACCAGGCGAGGATGGGTCGGCAGGCATCTTTACCTGCGATGGACCAGGTCCAGCGGTAGAACTCCACGGTGTCGTTGAGCGCTGTGGACACCACGTTCAGGACACTACCCGGCTCCGAGTCCAGGAGCCCCATCGCGGCGATCAGCGGGCGCAGGCGGTGGCCGAAGAGAAGTGGAGACCCCGCGGGAGGGGTGACCTCGGAGGTGGTGGCCGAGTGGCGAGCGGCGGCCGGGGACCCTACTAACGGCGGCGACCCCGCTGCGTCTTCTCCTCCTCCTCCCGGCAGCGGCGAGGGCCGGAGGCGCCGAGCGAGGAGCACCAGGTGTCGTCAAAGCTCCCGGGGGAAGGAGGAGGAGGAGGAGGAGGTCCCGCCGCGAGCGCCCGGCGCTGCACCACTCTGCTGCCGCGCGCCGCCGCAGCTCCAATCTCCTCCCGGCGTCACGTGGCCTCGCGGGGCGGGGGTGGGGGGGCGCCCCTCCCTCTGCCCGCCCCCCCGCCCGCGCGCCGCCGCTCCCTTGCGCAGGGATGCTGCGGTCGCCGGGGGTGGCTGCCAGCCCCGCGCAGGCGCGCTGCTCCGCCCTGCACCCCATCCCTCACCCTTTCTCTCCGCGCCAGATCCAGGCACCTGGCTCCTCCTCCCCTCGTCAGTCTCCCCATCCTCCTCCGCGGCCCACCTCGCCCACGTCTGTCCGCTGCAGGGGAGTGCGCCACCCTTGCTACGGGTGACCTCTCGGCCGCCCGGGATACGTGCTGCGGGGCTGGACAGAAGAGAATGGGTGGTTTGTGGGCAAAGATGACGTGGGCGAGGTGCTTTGTGTCATTCATCTCTATCTCGCTTGTGTTCTTCTTCCTTCTCTCCCGCACACTCTAGTTCAAGGTAGTTTCCCTCTACATAAGAGAAGGGAAAATTGGCTTTCGCGCTGCAGTGGTGGAGAATAGATGTGTGTCTGCCCATTAACAAATTAGCATACAATTGAATCAGTGCTTGCCTGTGTTCGGTAGACTCTTCACCATCCCAGGAATGATCAAAGCAGTATGATTGTGCTAAAGTAGGCCATGAATAGTTCAGAGAAGAGGGAGAAATGAGAAGGGAATTAGGGTTAAGGAAGTCCGCTTGGACCTTCAGGAGTTGAGGTGAATGTAAAAGGATAGTCGCTTAGGAGATAAAGGACAATGTACTTGAGAGAGGGAATCAGAGTAATTTTTTTATCTGAAAAAATGTTCAGCTAAGAAACTGGAAGGCAATTGGAGAGGCTACCCCCGAAAAGTAGCAAAAATATCCTACACATAATTCACAATTTGATAGTTTCTGACATAAACTAAATCTTTGCGAATAGTCCAATGACAGTTTCATCTACTTATTTCCATGTGCACCCACTTTTTAACCTTTTCTCCACTTGCCGATTTAGGATGTGTCATTTTAAAGGCCGCTGACTCAAGTGTGTGATTGCCTCAGCCTTTTCACACTGTTAAAAAAATGTGATACTACCTTTTATCTTATTGATTTATTTCCCAATTGACCTGGCTACATGTTCTTTATATTTTATATTGGGAGCGTACTAGAGGATAACAATTATTTTTTGGTTGCTTGATGCAGCCCTAACCCAGTGTTATAAATAGTTAATAGAAATGCATGATGACAAGATTATTACTGACACTTCTTTCAGAGTATGATGAGTATTATTTAAGCGACAGGACATTTAGGGAGAGAAAGTAATTAAAAATAACTGATTATTGTATAACTCAAGCAACCAGTCTTCTCTAAATGCTTTATTCTTGGAATCAACCAACTAAGCTGTAATTTATTATTTGTCAAATATAAAAAATTCTAGTCAAATCTCTCCATTTGGAGACTGGATAATGATCAGCTCATTTCCTTTGATGATATGGGTATGCGCACATTAGTTTGGACTTTACCTACAAAATTGATTACTACTTCTATATTGTGGAATCCTGAATTTTTCTTTTATTATATTATTGTTGTGCTGGGGGTCCATTGTGATAATTACACTTACAATATATCTTAGTTAAATTCACCCCTCCATCCTTCTCCTTTATCCCATTTCTCCATTCTTAGAATAGTTTCAACAGGTCCTGTTTTTCCATTTTCACACACGAGTGCATAATACTTCACCACACCCTTTCCTTATATCCTCACCCCTCCCACTGGTACCAACCCCCAGATGGCACCTGCTTTACCTTCCTGTTCTCATTGTGGAAACCTGGATGATTTTTAGGGCAAAAAGATTCCTATCCTCAAGGCCATGCATACACACAAAGCCTCCTCATCTTTACTTACTTCATACAATGTGAAATTCTGAAAACAGCTTCTTGTATTTCCTTGGCCTCTCTTTTTCAAGTGGAGACCAACTTAAGTACCTTAATCACTAGGGGGCGCCAGTCACATATAAGAAAATCAGAAGAGCTTGCTAATAAGTTAGCCTTGGCAGCGGTTTGAATATGTGTCTCAAAGTTCATGTGTTGGATATTAATCCCCAGTATGACAGGGTTGGGAGGTATTTCATTCACGAGGGCTCCTGAGGAGCTCAAAGCTGTGAGTTTGGTTTTTCCTATGTACACTATTAGATACTCACTTTCTGCCATGGGATGATGAAGCAAGAAAGCCCTACTCAGGTATAGCCCCTCTGTCTTGGACTTCCCAGCTTTTAGAACTGTAAGAAATATGCAGGGGGCCCGTGGCTCAAGCCTGTAATCCTAGCTACTCAGGAGGCAGACATCAGGAGGACTGCAGTTTGAAGCTAGACCAGGCAAATAGTTCCTGAGACCCTATCTCGAAAAACCCATCACAAAAATAGGGCTGGTGGAGTTGCTAAGGTGAAGGCCTGAGTTCAAGCCCCAGTTACAAAAAAGAAAAGAAAGAAAGAAAGAAATCTCTGTTCTCTACAAATTATCCAATTTTGATTATTCTGTTATAGCAGTGCAAAAACAAAGACAGAAAATTAGCATCAAGAAGTGAGGCTATTGCTGTAACAAACTCTTGATAATGTGAAAAGAGCTGAGGGTGTGGCTCAAGTGATAAAGCTCCTGCCTAGCAAGCATGCAGTCCTAGTTCAAATCCCATATCATGAAGAAGAAGGAGAAGAAGAGTCAGGGGAGGAGAGAGAGGAGGGGTGGAGGAGGAGGAGAAGGAGAAATAATTTATTGCCAGGATGAAACTGAATTGTATTTGAGCAAGAGATAGGCTTGTGTATACAAATACACAAAGCAAAGAACAACACAGTGGCATAATGACTCCTGGCAGCAAACTCTATAAAGCCAGAGCAATCTGGTGAAAGCAAACTTGTACTTAAGAGAACAATGGCATGGTTTGGGCCAATTACAAAGCAGCCTTTTCATTAACACCATTGGACACAGAATCTGTGTGATGCTGCTCAAAGATTTAAATGAATGAAAACACAAAAAGTTAATAAAAGCATATTCTCTTAGTGTTTAAAAACTAACAGTGAGGTCTGGGTGCATGGCTCAAGTGGTAGAATGCTTTCTTAGCAAGCACAAGTACCTGAGTTCAACCCCAGTACCAACAACAAAAAAAAAGAGTTCCTTATCCAGGTTTGATGGTGCACATCTGTAATTCCAGCACTCAGGAGGCTGAAGCAGGAGGACTGCAAGTTCAAAGCCTGCCTCGGCTACAAAGCAAGACCCTCAAAAAAACAAAAACATGCGCAAGGATGTTTATAGCAGCTATATTCATAATAACCAAGAGGTCCTTTAATAGCTGAATGTATAAACATAGTGCAGAATATCACAAACATTACTCAGTAATGAAAGAAACCAATCTGAAAAGGTTGCATACTATATTATTCTAATTATTTGACATTTCTGCAAAGATAAAACTAAAAAAAAGATCTGTGGTTGCTGGAATCTCAGGGGGAGAGGAGACTGAATATATGACGTTGAGTTTTTTTTTAGGGTAGTCAAACTATTTTTGGATGCTACTGTAATTGTAGATAAATCACAGACACTGTGCATTTCTCACAACGCTCAGAACTTCAAGGCAAAGAATAAATCTTTTTTTTTTATTCATATGTGCATACAAGGCTTGGGTCATTTCTCCCCCCTGCCCCCACCCCCTCCCTTACCATCCACAAGAATAAATCTTAATATATGCAAATTTTTAAAAAATCTCTTAGGAGGTTGGGGAAATACCAAGGTGAAATACAGACTGTCATGAAAGACTATAACTGTATTTCAAAATATATAGACAACATCACTGAAGGGGATCAGGGTAAAATTTGCTGACCTAAATTCTCTTGAAACTGAGAAGTCTGTAAGAGTAAGGCAAAATGAACTGCAGATAGGCAATGTACTGTAGTTGACTGGATTGTTTCCCACAGTGGAACGAGTACATAGTTCTGATGCTGCAGAACACTGGAATTGAATAATTAAGTAAATGGATGTCAGATGATGGAAGCAGGTTTCTTACAGATGAAGTGTAAGTTTACAGGTAAGCAAAGAGAAGAGACAAGAATGGTCCATGTGGGGCCAGTTGTGGTAGCTCAATCATGTAATCCTAGCTAGTCAGGAGGCAGAAATATGGAGAATCATGGTTCAATGCCAGCCAGAGAAAAAAGTTCTCAAGACTCCATCCCAACTAATGCCTGGGCTCAGTGTTTCAAGCCTGTCATTCCAGGTATATAGTGAGACACTATTTCAAAAATAACTCACACAAAAGGGGCTGTGGAATGGCTCAACTATTAAAGTATCTGCCTCATTAGCACTGCAAATGAATAAATAAGTAAATATGTATATGTATCCGCAGGCTCATTTATTCACATTATTCCCTTTATTAACTGAGAGGGCTTGAAATCAATGCTATGCTAGTAGCAACAAGCACTTAGCACCCAGATTCTGATTTCTGACACCATTTTTCTATCAAAGTAACTAGAAATCCTTGGAAAAAATGATTGTGGGCAGAAAATGCCCACAATGAGCCCCCTTATTACTACAGAAAGTAAGCAGTCTTACAGGAAAAAGACCCCCCAAATTTGTATGGGTATAGCACAGAAACATAGAAGCCAACTCAAAGAGCTCCCAAAGCTTAAAGCTGGAACATTGTGAGTAAAAGATAAATAGTACTGGATTGTAAACACAGTGTAAAATACACAACTATGAGCCCACACAGAGATAGATGGATGGATAGATAGATAGACAGAGATTCTTCGCAGGGCTTAGAATGTAGCTAAGTGATAGAGTTCTTGTCTAGTGTGCATGAGGCCCTGGGTTCCATCTCCAGCCCTTCCTGTATAGAAGACACTCAAGTAATTTCTATAGCTACTATACCTTATGTAGGTAAAGCATCACACACTCCTTAGGAACTACACATAGTGACTTATTTCCAAAAGTGCAGAATTGAAATGCAAAAAAGAAAAAAAAACTTTAAAATGAATAAATCTGCCAAATACTACCTCAACAGATGATCAAGA